TAGAGCTCCGTGTCCGTAGCTAGAGCCCTGTAGAGCTCCGTGTCCGTAGCTAGAGCCCTATGGAGCTCCGTGTCCGTAGCTGAGCACTGCAGAGCTGTCGGCTGGGTCCTTGTGTCCAGCGTGTGGTGCTGAGGCCCTGGGGATACCCAAGTGCTGTTGTCCTTTCTGAGCTTTGAGAAACTCAAAAGGCCAAAGTTACATTTATTAATTCCAGGGATACAGTCTTCCAGTAGAATAGTTATAAATAGGGTTTAATGAAATGCAGTAGAGCAGCAATGAAATCTTTCTCGTTAAGGAATTATGAATGTAAAACCTGATTTTATTTTGGAATACCTGTCCCTATTACTTTAAAAATGAACAGTTAACAATGCAAGGCTCTTTACAAAGTCAGAGTTGAATACACAGTGTCTTAAGAAAGGAAAGGTGTATCTGGGATCTCACAACTCCTGTTGTGTTGTCTGCTTGACACATGATTGTTTAAATTTCAGGATATGTTTTCAGAGCATCAGACACAGACAGGCTGTAGATGCCCTTAAAGATAGCTGGCTTTCTACAGTTGAACAACAAAAAGAAATGTGCGCTGTTCTTACTAAAAAGATTTTCATCACGCTTTAGTATTCATAATTTGAAATACACTTTCAGATTATTCCAGTGAACAGTTTCAAAGGCTGCCTGAGGAATTTTAAGATGAATGGAGAAGTCATGAATACAGCTCAGCAAAAAGATGGTGTACTTCCATGTCTGGATGTTCCCACGGAGACTGGCATTTATTTCTTTAACGAAGGAGGATATATCACCATTGGTAAGCTCTGTGGAGATTACGTTATATGTATGGAATTATATCTTAAATGTGTATATGCAAGGATTTGTTTTGTGTGTGTGTGTTCTTCCACTTACCATCTGCGATCCTTGCTTTACCCACTGTTTATTCCTGTACAGATCACTTGGCCCTGGGCTTGGATTTTACAATTGCATTTACTGTTCACCCGAGGAGCTCAGCAGGGGTGCTTCTCCATTCGGGAAGCAAGCGGGACAACTACCTGACTGTTTACATGCAAGGAGGAAAAGTAAGTTTCACAGGCTCTGTTCCAATTTCAGGTGTTCTGCCAACATTCAGCAGAGGAAATTCTGACCTTGAATACAGCACTTGTTTATTCTAATGCGTATCTATAGATCTAACATTAAACAACATCTTTATGTGGTTCCTCCTACGATTTCAACCTGTCCTACAGAACTAGGAGCAAGAAGCCTGTCTGTGTGGCTGCCTGAGGCGCTCCCTGTGTGTGCACACTGGCCTGTGCCTCCTCTCCTCACAGCGGGCACGAGTAGGCCGCAGTCTTCATCCTGCTGGATTTCCTGGCACTTACAAAGCCCCCCAGGGGCCTCCGGGCTCCGTGTTTATTCCCACTTCGTTAGTCATCACTTGGCTGAGGCACTCGGGCAGCTCCAGCACACAGCTTCTGGCTTTGTCAAGAATTAGCATTATTTTGTACGACTGAGGGGCAAAGAGAGACAAAACCATTCATTTATGCCCGTACACTTTGTAAAATATCCTGTCTTAGGGTTCTACTAGGAAAATTTAGTTTGGTTTCCTCTTGGAGAAGATCATTTCTGGGATATGAATGCAGTGACTGTGACTCCTAAACTTGAGCGAAATCCTTCTCCTTACTATATTACGTAAAATTCTGCATTTGCTCTTTTCCTTTTTGGCTGTGGTCCCTATGGTGCACTGAAGGGTGACTGTTTTCCAGGTTGTCGCCGTTGGAAATAACGGGGCAGGAGAGTTTGAGACGTGGGTGCGAGCGGCGCGGTCCCTGCGCGGCGGGACCTCAGTCACAGGTAGGCGCGACCGCGAGGGCAGCGGGGCCCTTCCTCACAACTGCACTTCTCCCTATTCTGAAAATGCTCCTTAGATCCATACAAGCGCCTGCTGTTAATTCAGGGCATTTCCTCCCTGACGTGTTTCTCCGCAGTGTCTCGGAAGGGAAACGCGGTGCAGCTGGAGGTTGGCACTCGCAGCAACGCTACCACTGGACTCCCTCCCTTCACGCCTCGACTCGGGCGCCAGCCGCTCTACTTGGGCGGCATTCCAGGTAATACCATTGCTGCCCGCTTCTCCAGTTAGCTGCTGCCTTCTTATTCCTTTCCAGGAATTCCCGTTCCAGCACGGAGCCCTGCACCATTCACTCTCTTCTCGTAGCAGCCTCCTTTTGAGAGACCAGGATTCTGTGTAGCTGGCAGGTCGCGCAGAGCAGTGGGAGCAGGGCTGTGCACGGAATGAGCTGGGAAGTGCTGAGGGCCCAGCACGTGCACCGTGCCTGTCTAGGGAGCTTGGCTTCCCACTAGTCTTAGTCTGAATCAATTAGTTTTAGTCCGAAACAAGCTGACTGGCTGTGTGCGATGGGATAATGTTCCGGGAGTGGATCTTCTGGTTGAGTTCCATCTGGAAAGCACCCAGTTGAGGCGCAGCAAGATGAAATCAAAGCTTTAACACCCAAATCTCGGGTTAGTTCAGCCTTGTCAGAAGAGTCGGCCACATCACGGCCCCGCAGCGCCAGGGCTGGCTGCCTGAGGCCGTGCTGAGGTGCCCCGTGCAGGCGGGTAGCGGGAATGGGATGTGATGCTCCTGCCGAGAGAGTTTCACGCGGATGGGAAGCACGGGAGAACCCAGCTGCAGGGGAGGTGTTTCTGCTCCTAGGAGAGATCATGAGGAACAAGTCTGAAGAACAACAGACACTGGTCAAATCATGTCACATTTGGGCCAAATCAGGATAAATAAATCTATGGAAAAATATTCCAAGTGTTTTACATGTAGTAGGAAGTACTTCACTGCCTCTTGGGATGTTTGTTTCCTACTATATTTAACAGAAAAGATTAAAGATCTAAAAGTAATTATCAAAACATTGCAAGTTTTGCAGCGATTAATGTTCTTCAAAATCATTCCCATTATTAATGTGATCTCTTTACTTTGTTTTACGCAGCAAATGTGGCCACACCCTGGCTTCCCGTTAGAGATCCCTTTATTGGCTGTCTCCGGAGCATCATCCTCAACGACAACCCCGTCTCCCCCCGCGGCCTTTCCGAGGCGCGCGGTGCCGTGAGCCTGCACGGCTGCCCCGCCGAGTAGCTCCGCTCTCGCCCTGCTCGCTCGCTGGCCCGCCGGGCTGCGCAAGGATGTGGCGGGCCCCGCTTCCACACGGGCCCCGCTTCCACACGGGCCCCGCTTCCACACGGGCCCCGCCGCCGCCGCGCGGGCTCCGCTCTGTCCCATCCTGCCAGGCGGCCGGGAGCAAACGCAGCCCTGCACGCGGGCGGCCCCCGGCCAGCGGGAGCGTTCGGCTCCCTCTGAAACGTTGCCCATTTCCAGGCTCATCCACTGGGTCCCTTGAAGACAGATGCATAAAACACAAAAACTTGTCACCGACAGGGCCGGATTTTGCTCTCGGCTGTACATAGGCATAGGATGGAGTAACTCCTTTGTCTTCATTTTGGAAATTTGCCTTAATGCTGGTCGTCTTGAGAGCAGATTGCATCCACTAGTATAAAGGATTTTTGTAAAATAAATATCTCTTTGGAGTGATGAACAGAATGTTTATACAGAAATGCACATTAATGTTAAAAGTAATAATAATATAAGTGGAGTTTGAAGCACTTTAAGGAGTGAAACTCTGGGAGTTTGTTACAATGCTAGGAATTTGGGGGCCAAATAAATGCAGTATGTTCTGTAAACTGTCCATTTTCCTGTTTGATTATTTTAATTGTTTCGGGTTTGTCCTTCCTTTCTGCACGTTTTTACATGCAGCTCAGCCCTGCTTGCTTTGTGCAAATGTTTGTCTGAACTTACAGGAGTCTGTCGTCCCTGCTTGCTAGGATTTGGGGATGTAAAAGCCTCTGGAAGAGAATAATTTTCCTTGTAAGCTTCAGAGCTGCCATCACGGCTCATGGGTGGCCACCACTTTAGTGCTTGATTGCTAGGATGAAGGGCTGGCCCAAGTGGCCCTGGCTCTGTGCTTCCTGCCACAAGGAGCCTCTCAGTGCCCTCTTCCCCATGGTTCAACATGTACACTTCCCAACATGTAAAAAATCCTGAGGGGAGGATGTAGGGAGGAAGGGGCCAAGCTCTTCTCAGTGGTGGCCAGTGACAGGACAAGGGGCAATGGGTGCAACGTGCACCACAGGCAGTTCCATCTCCAGGTGAGGAAGAGCTTCTTCCCTGTGAGGGTGACAGAGCCCTGGCACAGGCTGCCCAGGGAGGCTGTGGAGTCTCCTACTCTGGAGATCTTCCAAACCCGCCTGGATGCCACCCTGTGCCCCGTGCTCTGGGTGTCCCTGCTGGAGCAGGGGCTGGACTAGCTGATCTCTAGAGGCCCCTTCCAACCTCAACCAGTCTGGGATTCTGTGATCCCTCCCCTGATGCCATCCCGTGCCCTCTCCTTTCCAACTAGCCCTTTTCCTGCGGGTGTCAGGTGGGACGGGGCGGCAGGACAAGCAGAGCTCCCTTCCACCTGACCCCCATTAGTGTCCATCTTGCCTGGGCCTCCAGGCCCCAGCTGTTATCCTCACGGATAGGAGCTTGGAAGGAGCTGTCGGCTACGTCTGCAAGTGCCAGCTTGCGGTGCCAGGTGACACCAACTCATCGCCTGGACCTGCACCCATGGAGCCCCCGAGGGGAGAGGAGAAGGGTTAAGTCAACCCCGTCATGCCAGTGGCCTCACCCCAGCGACGTTCCTTCTAGTCCCCTTTCTCCATTCCCTTTCCTTTCTCCATTCCCTTTCTAGTTCCTTTCTCCATTCCCTTTCCCATTAAAGAAGAAAAAAAGTCATGGCAAACATCTTGCATCCCAATCTAGAGCCACTCCTGGATTTTAATTCTCTTCCGATTGAATTTAGAATGCGCTTTTGAATCATCAGAAGCAGCTGTGGTGCCAGCTAGGGGGAAAAAAGAAAGTACAAAGTCTTGAGTAAAGGTGTTAGTAATGATGAGTAAGCATTAACTCCAGTACAATCCCAAACCATAACAACAACAACGAAGTGTCAAGTCTCTCTTTTTTGCTTTGGGGTTGTTTCCATAGTCGGGTGCCACATGTTGTTGAGAAACACAGAGGAATCTACATCAGGCCGATAAGAACTTACTAAACACCTCTAAAAGGCTTTTCGATCCACGGAAATGCAGTGGAAAATCTTCACGTGAAGAAAGAAGTTGTCTTGTTTAGATTTGTTTGATAAATTCCTGTTAATTAAAGAAATCCATGTGGGCACCAAACTATATTTCACGTATTGCCTGCTCGGTGCTGAGATACCCTCCGTGTTATCATAGGAAAACATCTGCTGGAAAACAAGAGCCAGGATTTGTGGGTGTTTGAAGTCATGGATGGGAGACAGAGTTCAAGCTCTAAAGAGCCTTTCTGTTCAGGTTCACCAGGGAAGATGTTTGATAGAGGAAAAAAAATAATAATAAAAAGTACATTTTCTAACAAGCAAAAAAGTGAACAGTAAGTGAACAAGTAAGGTGAAAAGACAAGTGAATGACCATCGGCGTGAGGCACTTGGTGAATACCCCGCCAGGTTTCTGCGTTGTCACAAGTAACACCTCCAAGGCATTTGTCATTCTAGTGCCGGCATTTCTAGGCAGCTGCCATGATCACTCTCCTCTCTTGGTTATTTCAGAGGAATATCCAAATCTGTCCATTCTTCTATCACAGTAAAAGTCAAACTTTCCATCAGGAGAGGCTTTACTTGTAATTTTTTGTTCTGTAGCCTTATCATTTGCCTCAAGCCGTGAAGTACTGCTAATATTTTCAACATTAACTTTGCCCATCCTTTCCCAGCCTGCGTTATCACTCACGGCTTGTGTTCAAGGGTGCGGAGATACCACAGCTTGCATTTTGAGACAGGGTCATTCGTTTTATGATTCAAAGCCCTGCCCACGTTAATGCCTCTTGGTTCACTTGTGCTGTGGTTTTTTACCTCTTCTTCTGAGAAAAGTTTGGAAACATTTAATGAAAAATATGAAACGCCGTGTTCAATAAAATCGGCGTGTGTGTCTAGATTGTCATGAATGGCAGAATTCCCAAACCCAAACCTAAGGACGAATTTCCTTCTAGGCTAAACCACGTTTGTTTCCCATTGCCAAGCCTCTCTCTTGTCTATTTAAGGATCAAGGGCAAAGAGTTCTTCCTTTATTAATTTGGATTAGATTTAATAGGATAAAGATTTGAGGTGGATGACACCGTGGTCCCTGAGTTCCCATTTATTGTAGCTACGAAACAGCCAGACTATAATGGGAGCTGAAAGGGAGCTAATAAGCCTAACAGTGAGAACTGCAGGCAAATAGAGCAGATCACGGGCACGGTAGAAAGAAATACGCAGTTACTGTGGGAAGCTGCAGAAGGCTCACAGATCTGCAAGGAAAACATTTCTCACATTTCTCATTGTACTTTCTGCTTCTCACTGATGCTGGTACTTAAGTCTCGACGAGCCAAAGCTCCAAGGAAAGCGGCTTTGCGTGTCCCCTTATCTGCGCTTGAAGGTCTGGGCTTTTGTTGCTGTGGAGCTTTCATGTAAATGCAGAGCCCGCTCGTCCTTCCACTGATCTCAGCAGCGAAATCAATCCGGCGGGACAGTTTTCTCCACTTTTGTAACTAGCTGCTTGGTTCTTCCCTGAGCGGCTTCGCTTCAGCGCTTTGCCCTGGTAGCAGCCTTGGATCTCCAGTGCGAGCTGCTTTTATGCTCCCCTTTGCTTCCTTTTGCCCCTCATAGCAGGCACAGCAGCCTGAAACGTGGTCTCGGCAGCGGTGCACGAGGGCTTTGTGCTGGCCTGTTGCTCTGCTTTTGGTCTGGGCTCTTTCCTTCGTGCTTTCCTCCTTTGACAAGCCGCTGCATCCCCTGCGGAGCTGCAAGGAAGCTGAGGCACAACAGCCCGGCCTGCTGCAGATCCATGTTCCCTACAACCACATTAAATGGGCGCCCCGGCCAAAGGGAGCGCTGGGTGGCGTCGATGGGCAGCGTGCGGCAGCGCGCGGAGCCGCTTCCCGCCAGGCAGCGGGAACACGCGGAGCCGCTTCCCGCGAGGTAGCAGGAACATGTGGAGCTGCTTCCCGCGAGGCTGATCCTGAACGAGCTGTTGAGAGCGGTATTCCCAGGCTTGAAGACACAGTGGAGAAAATAGTTGTGAAGGACACGGACACCAGCAGCTCCGTGCCCAGCCCTTGCAGCTACGGTTTTAATTAACAGTGTGCTAGTAAGGTAATGAGCCACGAGCTGTGAAGCAGTGCACCGCCAGTGAGATGGTACTTGGCACATAGGATTTCTGTTCTCATGAAATAGCACCTGCCATGAATCTCAGTTCTAGCAGCTTCTAGTCACTTTCTGGTCAAAATTACTGGCTGGGAGCTACAAAAGAGCTGGTAAAAGGCAGAGGCCCCAGTTCCTCCGGCTAAGACAAGGATTTGGGCGAATAAAATTAAGCGGTGACAGGAGGTGTCAGGCTGTGAGACTGCAGCCGTCCCTCTGCTGCGCTCACCCAGGGTCACGCTGTGCCCCTGCGGACAGCGGAGCCCGAGCACTGAAGAGGCTGAGGGAGCTCCGGGTGATCCTCCAAGGAAATCTGCAGGCGCAACCCAAAGGTCGGTGGCTTAGTGGAAAGCTCTAACCACTTAACAGGACTTCCACTGGTGCGCTTCAGTAAAGCCTGCAGAAAATTTTACATAATGTCTATATATCCTAGGATATTGCCAAAGTTTATAAGGAATTTTTATTGAAGAATAAAAGTGTAGTGCAAAAAAGCAGGACATGTCTCCAGGAGCCCCAAAACAACCCTTCCATGCACATTTACCCAACTGTAAGCCCTGCCCGGTGCAGACAGTGTTTGCATTGAGGGAGCTGGGAAGCAGGAGCCAGCGCGGCTGCCGCGCTGTGACACACTGAGCTGTGAGCACTGGCCTGGCTGCCGCTCGTGTGCTGCACTGCAGGGAGGACAAGCCTGGAGTGTGACACACTGAGCTGTGAGCACTGGCCTGGCTGCCGCTCGTGTGCTGCACTGCAGGGAGGACAAGCCTCGAGTGTGACACACTGAGCTGCGAGCACTGGCCTGGCTGCCACTCGTGCGCCGCGTTGCAGGAAGGAAACG